AACATAAAATATATACGTATATATCATATATATTATACATTTATTTTCACTCTCTTTTATCGCTGAAAATATCAAAGCCACTTACATCAGCATATACAGCTCAGCTAAATGATAATGTGAAGTGTTCAAATAGTTTTATAGGAGTGGCATCTTTCAGTCTCTGGGAAATGGAAAACAAACTGTAAGAACCCTCCAGTGGCTCCCGCTAAAATTGTTACTAACAGATTTTGTTTCTTACAGTTGAAAACTGGCAGAAATGCAAATCAAATTGTATCACACATGTCAAACAGCTTCACAATTATGCAATCAACTTGCACTGCAAATTAAAAACTAGACTTGCTACTAGATCTTAAGTCAAAACAAATTTAAAACTCCAATAAGCTCAGCAAAAGCAATCCTCAAGAAATCTACTCATGCCCGTTATGATGGCAGAAGCAGCAAACAAAGAGGCTTGAAAGGAGATAGAAAAGCAGCAACCAAATTGCCTCATCTTTTACAAGACAAATTAATGACATTCACAGTGTCTTAGGGAGTTAACTACCCTACTTCAATCGATTTTCAACAGGAGTTCTGTTTCCAGCTCTCTGAAGAATAAAACCTTTAACTTAATAACACAGTGTTGGATGGACTCTATTTCATTTGAACTGCATGGGAAGACTCTCATTCATGGGAACCGTCACTTTGTCTGCCAGTTAAAACAGTAGGGTTCATTGAAGGAAACCTAAGATAGGTACGTGTGAATTTCAGTTTTAACTTGTAAAATAGAGAATGTTTTTTTCTGGATAAATTAAGGGAAAATAAGGGGCAGACCAAGATACTCCGCCCTTAGCTTCACATCCTCATATGATCTTTTTTGACAGCAATTTAGTATATAAGTATTAACATAAGTCATACTCTGTGCAGCCATGTGTTCCATGTGATCCAGTCCATCCAATCATATGACCACAGTCACAGCTGAATTTGGCCTACTGGGTTACATAAAAGACATTTTCTCTGCCTTTCCCTAAGAATAAGCAAAACCAGAAGTTCTTTACGTATTTTGGATGTTTGTAACAGTTCACATTAACAAATGAGAGTCACTCCAAATAACATTTTACTGAAAGCATTATCTCGAAATATTAATAATTTTTATCCAATATACCAATCAAAAAAGATTAAGCAAAACTGATACTTTTAATTGATTCTTCATTGGAATACTATGCCAGTTTTAGGGAGATACAAGCTCCGGATTCTAGCCAGAAGCTATTCTCAAGTGAACAATCACTCCTCAGCCCATAACTTGGCATCATATGCCAGTTCTGCAGTTGCATTAGCCTAAGAAGTTGACAGCGCTGGTTTCCCAACTTTAGTCCCATGACTGCAGTAAATCAGAAAGGTTTGCATAAGCGGTGCCTGTGTCTGACATTATCATCACTGAGTTTCCTAAAGAACAGATATATAAACCAATTTTCAAGTATGCAAAAAACGTCTGGGTTTTTTTTGCAATTACAAAATCGTGGCCTTCAGACTCTGCCAGCATGTAAACAGCATACCCTGGGTTGATGTGCATTTAATCAGATGGAGCACAAAATCAACCAGAAGCTGTGAGAGTGTTTACCATCCCTGCATCTTGAGCTTCCTTTTTGTAATGCTTGGAAGTCTGGGTTCAGCACGCTGCTAATGAGATCACATGTCTTCTAGCTGGGGAGGCTGTGGCAGTTTTGGACTCTCTTTTTAGGCTCTGGACAGAGCAGGGCTGAGTCCCTCCCAGAATACAAAGACTATACACAATCCCACTTTAAAAAAGCTGTACTGTCTGCAGAAGTCCATTTTCACATTACTAGCTTGTCTAGTCTCCTCAACTAGACAGGATCATGAACTATTTTGCTAGAAGATTCTGTAGGAAGAAAATGATGGTAAGAAATGTAGGTAATACTTCAGGAGATTATATGCTTCTGAGTCTAAGAAATGAGTTCTTAACCCCACTAGTACAGGCAAAGCCCTTCTAGAGATGCAGTTGTTTGAATAAAACAAAATAATGTCTGGTTTGGTCCTTAAATATCTAATGGCACTTACTGAAAAGGTCTGACAAATGTTCCAGTTGGATCATTCTATTAAGATTCTTGCTTTGTATTTAGAAAACCAGATCTTTATTTCCTCTTCAAAAAGCTGTCATTTAGCAAGAATCACATTCTTGCAAAATTCACTACATTCTCTTGCAGGGGTACCTATACTTAAATAGCAAGTAAACTGTGTTTGTATTTCATATCTAGGCCCTGATTCTATAAACACTACCATTCATGCTTCACTATGCATGCCCGTAGTCCATGCAAGTCTACAGTCCAGCTCATTAAAGTAGATGATTATTCATTTGCGTCAAGCTTAGTATGTAAGTCCATGCAGCAGTGTACATACATATGCAACAGTCACCTTCTTGTATTTTACAAAGGTGTATAGAATCAGCAGAGAGCATGCGTCATTCTTTCCTATTGTTTCATGCCTCAATGCTATTTCTGTGTTGCAAGAGTTCCAAATCCTATAGTCACCATCAAACATGAAGAGATTCTAAGAGATGAGATTTATCTCAGATTTAATATTTCAGCTTAAGATTGCCAGCTGCCTTTTTTTTTTTTTTTTTTTTTTTTACAGTATCAACACATTAAAAAACCCCAAAACAACAAACCCCAAAGCTTTTAACTTTCAAAAATTCTTCACAACCGGTAATGAACGGAGCTGCCTGTTAAATAAATTTCAAAATGCTTTTCTAAAGTAAATTATAAACTATGCTAAAGATATCATACAATATCTGACCATTCTACATTACTACAACCCATATGCACTTTGCTGAGTTTTTTTAGATGTGACTATTTTCTTCATCACTGTGATAGGTTTAGGGTCTAGAGGCTTAAAGCAAGAAGGTTTCACCTATCAATTTACATGGCAAATCTCACTCCATTCCCTAATCTAATATCCTTGGTAGGCTTTTAAGAATAAAAGGCATAATACTCAAAATTATTTCCCTTTATCACAAATTTATAGCTGCAAATAAGAATTTTTGACAAGGTATTTGGCTTATGAGAACTTGTTGATACATGTAACACATAGCCTGCTCCTATCATCATCATGCTGTCTATTTAATAATTCACATTTAAATACAAGACCTTAGTTGCCACAGCTCAGTAGGAATAAAATTAAGGAGATTTACATTTTCCTGCTGAGAAATCTGGAATGCTGTCTAGTGTTTTATCCTTGTTTGTTTTAAACTTGTCAGAAACACTGGTGCCATCATAACCCTCCATCAGTCAGGAACTAAAATATGTATTGCGGGGCTACATCTTCCACTAAGCAGCAACTTACCAAAATTGTGAGAGAAACCATTTTTACAAAACACATCAAAAAGAGATACCTTCACACAGACTGCTGATTTACACCTTTATCTGATATAATTTAAATCTATTGTACAAATTTCTAATTGCATCTGTCGGTCTCTGCATTTGTACCAGTGAAGAAATCCCCCCCCCCTTTTTTTTTTTAAATATTGGTGAACAGTGTAAAAAATACAAGAACAGTTGAAAACCCTCAAGGTGAGGTATTGAAGCTGCTTCCTAATAATCCCATCTTATGTTAGTGTCTCTCATTCAGTAATGACAAACTAATGAATTTTAGTACAGAGAGAGTCAATAATATTCCTGAAAGCTACACTTTTTGGCACAATTAATGCGGTGCTAACACCACCACATAACAAAGTTCCTTATAAAGAAGAGAAAGGGAAACTATACTATTTTGCTGGAGATAGCTTACACACAGTCACTTTTTTGATGAAGGAAAAAGTAGCTTCATAGTTTGTCTGGAGTCCAGGACCACCTGTCCAAATCTTCTGAAACAGAATTTTTACTTAGTAGCAAGGTCAATATTATTAATTTTAGAGCAAATATACTCACTATGAACATGACCTCTGAATGATGTTATTGTCCAAACCACTGGCACTGATGCAAACAGGAGCCAGTTTAAATGGTACTTAGTGCCCAAAGAATAATAAACTTGTAACCACTTACAAGAATACTGTAAGTAATTTATTTAGCATAGACAAAAGATGATGAAGATCCCTACCTCTTTGGTAAGTGTCTTTTCTTCAAAGCCGCAGAATACAGTAACATTAATCAGACAAGATGCAAATATTGACAATAAAGAGTGAAAGGTAACTGCTACTCTACCACATAATTTTCTCCCTCTGTTTACGATTTTATCATACAAAGTGCTTGAAGAGCCATGAAGATGATTAAGGGATTGGAGCATCTGTCATGTGAGAAGAGGCTGAGAGAACTGAGGTCGTTTAGCCTTGCTCAGGGGGGTTCTTATCAATGTGTATAAATACCTGACAGGGGAAGTAAATAAGACAGAGCGAGAGACTTTTCAATATTGTCCAGTGACAGGACAAGAGGCACTGGACACAAATTGAAACATGAGAAATCCCATTTAAACATAAAGGGGGAAAAAATCCACTGTGAGGGTGGACAAACGCTGGAATTGCTTGGTGAGGCTGTGGAGTCTCCATCCTTGGCAATTAGTCTAGTTAACCCTGCTTTGAATAGAGGGGCTGGACTACACAAACGGACAACGAGGTGGACTGAAAACTGGCTGAACTGCCAGTCTCAAAAGGTTACGATCAGCAATACAAAGTCCAGCTGGAAGTCAGTCACTACTGGAGTACCCCAAGGGTTGATAGTGGGGTCAGTACTGCTTAACATCATCATTAATGACCTGGTGGTGGGACAGAGTGCATACTCAGCAATTTTTCAGATGATGCAAAACAGAGAGGAGTAGTTAGTACACCAGATGGTTGTGCCACCACTCACAGGGACCACAAAAGGCTTGAGAAATGGGCCTACAGGAGTCTTATGAAGTTCAACAAAGAGAAATACAAAGTTTTGTACTTGCAAGGAATCACCCCTGCATGAGTACATGCTTACTGCAAATATATCCATTCAGCTAATACACCTTCAGCTGGAGTGGAAACATACCCTTTGAGAGTCCATCTGGTCTAAAGAGTCTCCAATCTAAATGCTGTGAAGAAAAGGATGTGTTACCGAGCCTGTTTTACACAAAGACTAAAATATTTCTAGCTGGTTTCCTAGTAAATTTCTGATGTCAGCCACAGAGACATGACTGCCTAGGAATTAAACTTCCAACTCTCAAATTCCAATACAATGTGTTAATCACAACATTATTCTTCATTGAGTGTTCTTTTGACATGCATTTAAACCAGGCACCTAATCTCTGAGTTGAGAGAATTTATTTTGGAAAAAATAGCCATATTGAACACACCTAACTTGCATATTGCCTCGTATTGCTCTTGATACTAGCTCCTGAAAATAATCAAGATATCTGCAGTTAGTTTTAGAACAGGATTCGTAAGGAATTAAAAAGTAAGTCTCAAATTTTCAGCATATGGAGGCTGTATAACATTTTGCAAGCTAAAATATTTGAAGATAAAAAGCTGGATTCTTCAGAATTTCATACCTTATATAGTACGTGTCTGTGTATTTATAGACATATAATTTTATACACTCGCAAAACGTAAGTGAAACAGAACATTGTGGTTTAATTGCATTTTTGCATTCAGTTTTAAGCAAGAGTAAATGACCACTTAAGATGACAAAGAATCAGACCCATCAACTCATCTTTCTTTTCCATATTCACAAACATCTCATGAATGTGAGTATCACTGTTTACACGGCCTAATCCCTCACAATACCTCCATGACTTCCTGAAACAAGCTATTTTTATGTCTCTATGATGTAATTAAATGTACTTTTACCACTGCTGTGATGAATAGGTTGTTGGTTAATACACATCACGTACTGATAGAGTGTTTTACAGCTACGCATTCATTATTAAAAAGGAAATAAAAATGCACAGTTACGCTCATTTCCAAAGCAGCAGTTAATATTAACAATCGCTGAAACAGAAATACTGTCTCACTTTAGATTTGTAATTAACTGAAAGTATTTTTGGTTGCAAATAAAACAATGTTATTACAGATTCAAGCACACACACATATTATACTCTGCAGCGAGGTTATAGATAACATCTCCATCATTGCACTCTTTGCAGCATGGTTAGAAGTGTACTTGTAAACTACTCTTTTCCACACATGCACAAGTACCACAATCTCCCAGTAACTAGGAGGAAAGATGTCAAATAAGGGATACCACCGGTGTCCACAGCGCATTGATAGTGCTGGGAGAACAAAGCGTCACTCCTTCTAACTCCTGGAAGCATTCCTATGTGAGAAAATTCCAGCACTACATTAGCTAATAAAAATGTGCTGGAAGCATGTGGACACCATTAAGAACTGAAGCGGTCCTCTAGTCTCCTGCTCTATTACAACTCTTAGTCCTGAAGCCACAAAGATTGCATTATAATCCCATGGATGTTTCATTATCTTTGGTTAGGTTGTGCTGACCAATGCACAGCCCGAAACTGCTGATATGAAACCGCCAAATTTCCATTCTTTTTTCTAGTCACTTCCTCACATCTCCCAAACCCAGGATGGTTAGATACTACAAGTACCTTCTACTCTGACTAAGCTACTTCCATACTTCATAAGAATTTGAGCTAACTCTTTACTTCACAGTGGAATTAGTGACTCATTTCACTAATGACACGTGAGCAGAGACAAGGAAATAATAAGTTTTTCACACAATATTAAAACATTGTTATGGAAAGAAAACTGTTCACATGAGGAATGCTAGACTGCTCACATCCCTACTGACTCAACAAAAATAACAGCAACCTTTTTGCTCTATTTGCAAGTCAGCACTGCTAGTAAACCTGCAAAACCCTCAGTAGATTCCAGCAAAAAATTCAGTTTCACTAGAGTCTAATGCCCAATATGGTCTTTCAGATCTCATTTCTCTATAAAAGCAACGCATTATGTTAGACAGGAGTAGATGGAAACATATCCATTTAGGCAAAACATCCAAAAAACATCCTGCACAAGAAAATAAACACTCTAGTTTGAGAAAGTTGAGCATTATGCAATACACACAACTGTATAAGTAGCCTGTTTTCTACTGTAAAAGGAATGAAACAGAACACTTACTGACCTAAGTACAAATTTGTGTCCAAGAAAAACCTAAATTCTTATTTTTCAATTCATTCAAGCCTTGAGCAACTTCAGTGGGACACCCTGCTTAAATATGTACCTTGAATATCTTTGAGTGTGGATGCCCTTCTCAGTCTGAGTTAGAAATATTCAGCATTTCCCCCACCACACGAACTACAAAACATGTTCAAAAGCACTAAGGATATCTATAAAAGACTGTTTTCTTCCTTCCTGACAAGTATTTTGTTATTCAGATGCTACCTATAGCTTTTTATAGTTTAAGTCTCAAACACTTCCTAGGTCATCCTGCTAAATAACTGTACTGGGCCTGGCTAGGGTATTCTTCATAGCAGCTCATACGGTGCTGTGTTTTAGATTTGTGACCAAAACAATGTTGATAACACACTAATGTTCTAGCTATTGCTGAGCTGTGTCTGCAGAGCATCAAGGCTTTCTCTCTTTCTCACTCACTACCTACTGCAATGAAGACTGCGGTGTGTGCAATAGGTTGGGAGACAACAGAACCAGGCAGATGACCTGAACTAACCAAAGAGATATTCCATGCCATATAACGTCATGCTCAGCCATAAAAAGGGAGAAGAGAGGGGTTTAGGGAGGTTAGCTCTCTTTTGCTTGGGAACTGGCTGGGCATCAGTCTGCCTGTGGGAGGTGGAGAGTCATTGCCTTCGCCTCAATTGTTTTGTTTTCTTTCCTTTCTCCCATCTTCTGCTTAGCCTTCACTTCCTTCACTTCTTAAATGCTTTTTTTTTTCTCGACCCCCCAGTTTTCTTGCTTTTACTCTTCCTTTACTCTTCCCCCATCCCATGAGGAGTCAGGGGGTGAATGAGCGAGCGGCTTGTGGTGCTTAGCTGCCTACCAGGGTTAACCCACAAAAATAACATAATTGACAAAATTAGTGATGTCCAAGCTTTCTGCTGTGTTGTCCGGTGATGTGTGAGTAGGTATTGAGGGTTTACGCACACTTGTGACATGACTAAGCCTGTATTTGTGTTACAACCAGATGTATGCTGTCCCATTTCTCCATGGCCAGATACAGATGTGCATTGTATGACACGACTAACACTTCTGAGCGACGGAAAGAAAGGGGGAGTGGGCTGGATGCCAGATGAACTATTTACCCAGGCAGTATCCAGCTCAGTCTGTAGATTGCCTATAGGCCCATCAGCTACATGAGAATAATTTTGTGTAACACTATACATTGATTATGTGTTGTCAACATAAACGTATTCAACATGCTTTCCCCAAAATAAACATAAGAAGTCTACCAAAACATGGCCATCTACTGCACGTGCTTCTCTCCCTGGGGAGAGGATGTGTTAAAAGTACGTGACAGACATTAGGCACACTGTTTGATGCTCTGCTGGAAGATGTTTCATTTATATGGCAATAAGCACAGTGTAGGAAGCCATACAGAATAATACATGATCTCATAACCAATGGATATTTGTATCAGGATACTGACCTTCTTTTTAGAATGGGAATATACTAGATGCAAATGATAGTATTTTTGGGTGCCATCTCACTGATACTTGTTACTTTTACTGCATTCATAGTACAGCAGCATTTGTATTACCGAATATTCTTAATGTCCTCTCACTGAGCATGAAAATGCTGTATTACATCAAAAATAAAAAAACTCTTAGCAGTAGATTTTCATACAGAAATTTTATGGGTAAAATAGAAATCAAAATGTACAGGCTATAAGTTAGAAGTTGTGGCAAGCAATTTTTCCTATTGACTATAGGGGAATTTGAACCTGTGGCTTTTGACTCTTTAAATGAACACTGCATCACTGTCACACGTATGAAAAATGCTGAACACTGAAGTGTACTGCAGAACTAGTGTAATCTACTTGTTACAGCAAACTGAGCGTATCTTACAGGGGCTTAAAGATTACTGTGCATCTGAGGCAAAGCTCTTTCTTGCACACCACTGGAATATACAAAGATGACTTAAAGAATGTGGTTATTAACGAGGATGTTCATCAATTACAATAAAAGATTTGTTTTCTAGCAGTGGTATGCAAAAATCTGCCAAAATGAAGAGAAGAAGCCTGATAGATAGGAATCCTGACTTCTTAGGATTCCTAAGCATCTGTTATTTCTACTTACACAACATACAGCCTTGTATTACTGTAGGGAAGCCAGGGCATACACTTCCACACAGTATTTATTTTCTCTAACCTTATTATTTGCAAAATAAATATGAGACTTTCACTCAAGTACGGCATTCTTCTTTCAGAAAGAACTCTTCTGGAACGCTGATCTTGGACCATTCTGCACCTTAGCTAGTTTGCTTTTATCAGTTGTTACAACAACACATCTTTTCTATGTTTATTTTTAAAGTACATAAAAATATAAATGGAGAAGGGTTTAATACAGAACAAATAAGGAACAGTATTTTTACAGAAAAGCAAATGGCCAAGCAGATATCTAACCTACTTTGAGACCAACATGTCAGGCAAATACAGTACATAGCTCTCCCTTCTATCCAAGGGCTATCTTTTGCAGAGCTACAGGGCTAGCTGTTGCTTTACTTTCCGTATACTTTTTGAATACTACCCAACACAAAGGAAGATATAAGGTCATTTAAAATTTGTATAGCCAGGTATTTTACAAGGGACCCTGTCATGCCTTTATAAAGTGCTGACAAACCACACAAGATATGCTGTTCCTGAAAACGTCTCATCTGCCTAATGGCATCCTACCGCCTTCTTGATATACGTCTCTCTATTCTGCTTTTACTGAATTAGCAATCTGAATCCTGGAGAACTTCAGGTAACCGCTCGCAGAACATTCTCTGCCAGGGCTGTATATAATTAAACATCCAAATGTTACAGTAAAGAAGGATTGCACAACTTTTAATGCAATACATATTAAGTCAAAAATGTGACTGTGATCATCCAGTCTGAGCTACATTAAAAAATCCCACAAACCATAGCACTTGTATTAATTCCCACCTGAAGTTCAACAGATTACCTGGACTAAATTACCCTTCTTAATTTTCAAGATTACCAGTGCCAAGGAATCTACCACAATCATTAGTAGTTCCAAATTGTAAAATAATAATAATAATAATAATAATAATAATAAATCCCTAATTGTAGCCTGAATTAGTCTGGTCTTTATTACCTCATTTGCTAAGCTACAGTCATTTGATTTTCTTTAATCTGCAAGACTGAACAATCTGCTTTTGAATATCAGTTACTTTATCTCAAATGTTTCCATTTAGTTTACAAAAGATACTATTAAGGGATGGCTTGATTACTGGCTGGAAGTGCCACCTTAGCTTTACTTTTACCAAGCTGTGCCCCTGGTCTTTCATGACAAAATATGTGTCCTGAGTCCCGTATCATTCTTCTAGGTCCTCTATATACCCTTTTCAATTTTTCTGTATCCTCCTTGAAATGCAATTGCCAGAACCAAGTTCTGTATTTGAGTGGTGATCACAGCATTAACAACCGCAGAAGCAATGTAATTTGACGACTGCTTGATATTCCCCTTGCCCATTCATCCAAGACTACCTTCATTCTTTTGTCTCCCCTTGACACTGGCAGCTGATTATACCATGACCCTTCAAAACTCTTTTAGAAGTCTGTGCTTTGTGAGGGAAGAATAAGGCGCTCCGTAAATACAACCCACAAATAGTTTCTACATAGTGATTTCTCTTTTGCTACTTATCCTATTCTTCTATTTTATTATCTCAGATCTTTGAGAGATCTGGAATATGCCCATGGAAGTGTATGAGACTTCTATTTGAACTCATCTAATGTCAGGGAGCTTAATTACATTTATATGGAATAGATTGGGTTTAGAATTACCCCCATTATTTTTTTTCTGCTGTTTCCCTCATGAACACCTAAACACCGCATACTTATTTCTGCAGTTTCAAGCGAGGAAAGAGTTGGTAGGATATGAATGCCTAGCCCCCCTATATGCATTCTTGGCTTCCATCTCCCTTGTGATGCTTTTTTGATTCACAGTTAAGCTGTACTCTAGT